CATTGTTCTCTCTGTAGTCAACGATGCTAGATTGTTTGGAGGCATATTCGAAGATGATGACTCCAACTAACTTACCTAGCCGATTCATCAACAGCTGCGACAGGATCTAAAGCGTAGCGATGATTAGCGTTCGTTCATGTTCTATGATATTTCCCTTTTATTTCAAATGCATCGGTAACACTTGGAAGTCGCCGTCCTCAATTTTGTGATCTAGCCCCAGCTTTCACTGATGACACCTGAAGACGTGTATTCGTTGCCACACGCGGTTTTTCATTGCCAATAATATGCAAGGACTCGTTTGTCGGAAATTGATGTGCAAAATTGGGTCAGAGTGACAATATCCGATTTATTTTCATCTGACCTTTCAATTTGTTCTCACATTGGAACAGTGATTTAACGGTGTGGTAAGCCAGCTTAAAAATTGGCGTTGTTCCCAATGGACATAAATGGTTTCAAGCAGACAATTGTACTCAGTCCAGCCCTGAAGATGCGGCTGTATTTGCTGTGAAACTCGTTGGCATTAAGCTGTTTACCATCTGTATTTGGTACCCTTAATCAAGAGGATTTCATGCGATTCATATGCCTATCTAAAATTAATCCCGTGATTCAGTCGCAATGAATTCTGTGATCGCTCCCCAACTTTCATTGATGGCATCAGAACATGTGTATTCGTTGCATATTCGGTTTTTCATTGCTAGCATATGCAAGGACTCTTTTATCAGCACACCTAATTCGGATTGGTCTCTGACTATAACAAAAACACATTGATCTGACTGAAAGAATACCTTCCAGTAATCACATGCTAGGCGATTCCAGAATTTTCAGACTCTCTAAGGGAGACCACAGCAAGATGCTCTTTTATACCCATATTCAATTTTCGGTTGGTCTTTCCATTGTACGCCTTGTCGCAGTCTCTGCACTAAGCTTCTTAGAGATTTTTCATTTTACCCGTGATCCTGAGGGCTGTACCGCAAAGAGGATTATCGTAAATTAAACTTTTAACGTGTGAACCATGAATCGAAAACGAAAAATGGAATTATTGACTAAGTACAGCATCGAGAAGAACTTCAGTCACAACGTTTTTGAAATATGCATTAAAGATTGATTTTTTCACATAAGACCAGTTAAAACTGAATTAATAACCCGCATAAAAAATTCTCTGAGCTTTGAGCAGAAGCTTCTGATTTCATCTTCTAAGTTTGTGCAGTTTTAAGGAGTATCAAAACAAGGTTCAAATTTGCACATATTAAACATTATACATATTCAGCATATTAAAAGTATCCATAATATATACATATTACTGCTAAATACGTACCTGACTACGGCATCCCGAGATGCACAGCAAAAGTAGTATAAACAGAGCAGCACTCTTCGTTTCTGTTGCTCGATTCATTTTGCTTAAGCAGCAGGAGAGCAGCAATGACGGGAGCACGCAAAAGGCGTTAGAATCTTTAGCTAGAGTCCGCAATAAACAGCACAGTCGAGTGACAAACTTTCGTTCACCACTCCGGGAGCATCGACTATTTACGAATTCGATTTTCAGCTCCAACTGGCCTCCTTTATTTTGACGAATTGCTTCGGAATCAAACATTTCCTCGTTATCCCAAGATTTAGCATTTAGCGAATTGAACGCAGCGGGTGAAAAAGACACTTTAGCCTCAGGATTTATCATCTGGCCAAAATTTTCGACAACTTCCGTCACAGCGCATATCGTGGCGGCCGTTCGGCCTTGAGTTCCGTTTAACTTAGCGATGACTGGTCACTCGAAAAAGTTATTAGCATTTGGTAGCTTCTGAGGATGGCATTTCACACCTCACCCATAACCTCCAGTGAACTGTGAAAAGCGCATCAGAAAGGCTCTTTGTTGACTGGATTCCCAAGGGGATTAAAGAACACTGTTTTGGGTGAGCTGATGATTTATTTTTCGTCATCTGTTCTTCAGGCTATTAAATTGCTGCTTCTCAACCATTTGACATTAAAAGAAAGCGCGATGAGGTGGAGATGGCAGAAGCAGACAAGACGTATTCTATTATACTGTACTCAGTGAGTAAATCCTGAAAAGAGGCAAACTTTATTCTATTCCAAATTCCGTCATGGCGAAGACTTCCGTAACTCTTAGTTACCTACTCCTCAGGACATTGCGGTCATCGAACGTCAGACCGGCTCGGCCGTTGCACGCGCTGTTGGAAAACTGAGGCAGACTGCAAACGTTTGGTGATCAACACCTGCTTCACGCCTTCCCGAAGCTGGGAGAACAGCAGAACGGCGACGGCTGCCAAAGATCGAAAAAAAGACAATGATACCGGTCAACAACGGAGCAGCTATCCGTTCTGAATGGAAGAGGCAGACAGTGCGATGTCATTACAGCACGTCATATAAGGTTAATCAGGAACGACACAGAGAGAGCATTTCCTCAGGAACCAGTAGATGGGGCTGCAAGGTACCAACTCGACATAGTCGGACTCTCGTCGAGGAATTGC